GCCGGCGAGCCTGGCGGTCCGCTGTACTACAAGGAAGTGTTGACTCGATTCTACCTCGAATTCTTCTACCCCCACGACTCGGAACGCGAATGTGACAGGACCAATTGGTCCTTCAGCCACCAAAGCGGGATCACCCGAGAGCAGCTGAGCCTGCCTCTGGCCTCGCCTCCCTCTCCTTCAGGCATTCGTGGCATCCTATGGGTCGTCCAGAGTATCGACCTCTGGCTTGTCAGCCGTCACTTGATGACACCATGAAGTATAGCGATCGCCATCTCGCTGGCCTCTCCGCAAGGCCCCCCGACCGCGTCGAACTCATCGGCGCGGGCTCTCTCGGCTACGGGACCGGCCCCAGCTTCGGCTGAGTGAGGGCTAACCAGCTGCCGAGCTCAAATCCTGTGCGATTTCTTGTTGGTCTTCAAAAATCTCCCGCAAAGTGTGTGTGGGGCTCAACCGCTCAAGCTTAAGTCCGGCTGGACTTTGGCGCGGCAGGGGGGCGGCCGGTGCCAGCAGAGTGAGAGCGCTCGAAGATCTTCTCTCCGGAAAATTCTTTCCTCGATCACTGTCGCCTGGCGTGCCTCCCTGGAACCCTGCGCCATCGCGTCAAAGAGCTCCAATGGGCGCCAGCGACCTCCGAGGAGTCACTAACGACGCCTTCTCTGCCTACTACAAGCAGCAGCTTGGGCTGACCGATCAGGAGTGGAGCGCTTTGGAGGCGTGCCTCCGCTCGCCTCTGCCTGTCACCTGGCGCTTCAGCGGCAACGACGAGCGTGCGATCAGCCTTCGGGCCAGCATGGAGCAGAGCCTCCTCCCGCTACTGAACGAGCAGCCAACGTCGCTGCCGTGGTATCCTGATCGGCTCGGTTGGCAGTTTGGCGTCTCGCGGGCGTGGCTGCGCGGCAAGGACCGCCCAGGCGAGGGCCCGGAGGGCCCGGAGGCGGCGGCGGCGGCGGCTCCTCGCTCGACGTCCATCAAGGCGTTCCACGCATGGCTGCTCCGCGAAAGCTCTCTCGGCAACCTGCAGCGGCAGGAGGCGGTGTCGATGGTGCCGCCGCTCTTGCTCGACGTGCGGCCCGGCATGGCCGTGCT